CAGTAGACCAAACTGTGTACGAATTGATGGAATCGATATCGATCGCTAACTATCCTATGATCCTCCCCATCCGAAGTATACGTGTGCAAAGTTTGGTCCGAATAACAGAAATAACATTTGCGATAAGCGTTAAGTACAGACAAACGACAGACATACAGAAAAACGGACATTCAATTAGTTGAAAAAATCGTCCATGACAATGAAAAATACGAAGAGAAGCTTTCTCAAGGACTTATATCGAAGAAATACGAAGCTTACAAAAGGAACAATGTACAAGTGTGCTGAAAGAAGTGTCAATGAAAAGAACCCTAGTAGTATCGAGTTCTACTAACAAGTTAGGGATCTCTAATCCCAGTGGCGTGCGAGGCTCTCATACAAGCAAAATAGTTCGTAATCTTTTCTTTAATCTTTTTTATAGCACTCAAAAAAATCCCATTGGTGGCGCAATTTACTCCGATCGCAAAGCGCGCCCCTACGCAAACACGTTAGCTGTTGGCTTGAATTTTTAATTCCCCATCTCTTTTTATGTCTCAAGGAAAGGAGGATTAGGTGGGTGGGCCAGTGATGGGAGATGTGGAGGAAAGGGGACAAGTGTTGACCGGTAAATCTAAGATTCTGACAATGGAGTGAAATGTTCCGCGCATAAGCGGTTTGTAATAAAAATCCCTGAAAATGTTTGATAGAAATGATGAAAGAGAGAGTTTTACCCTTGTACAATCTATTTTGAGTTAAGCGACGACACAGGTGAAAAATACAAGTGAGGAGCGGGGGGAGGGGGGGGGGGGTTAAAAAGATCAATGGGGTCGCAAAATTTTTCAAAATCAGAGGGTTTTGTTTCAAAATCTTCCTTATGCCATTTGATGCTGAGCCCCTAGTTGGGAGATTGCCTATTGAATAGATTGAAGCAGTTGCCCCATTTCTTGATGTTTAGGGCATAGAATGCGACAATCGCGTATGTAGCGGCAACATAACAGCGGCATTCTCGTAAGCACGGGACCTTCAATTTTTGACATAAAGGCTACGGCCACAGTAAGTGCGAATCGTTGCCCCCATAACCGCCTCGAACATGGAGCTTCAACTGAGACGTTGGTATAAGAGAGTAATCAATGGCGCGTCTCCTGAATATTTGAATTTTACTAGTGCTCCAAGAAAAACTTGGGAACGATTTTATAAGAGCAAAACTTGTCTTTTTTATTCTTTTTCGACTAATTACAATATCCCATGGTTGAAGGTTGCTAGCTTAGCTAGTTAAAAGTGAGCATTAGCCAATTAGAGTATTGAGTTCTCTGCTTGACTATCCTTCTGTAGCTACGCCTTCACCATCATGAAGTGTTGCAGCTCTCCTTGCAGTTGGCGTGTGCGACCGGCTTTTCCTATCTATCGCCTTTCTCTCTCTTTCGATTCGCTATAATTTCAGTGCGCTGCCGTGCGTAATACAATGTCTCAAGCACCTTTCCAATTTGTTGAACTGAAAAAAAAACCGATACATCTTCTTCAAGCAGGAACAACTTTGAATAAAACTTCTACTTTGAATAGAGAAGGTCAAGCTTTTTCAAGATATTAAAGACATAGATGTTCGAAAGCTTTGAAGGTAAGTCAATTATGTGTCGCAAAGCTATACGAATCCCAGCAGACACACACTTTTTCAACACAAGAGAAGTTCTAGGGCAGCTTTGCATACCAATCAGTACCCAAAATCTCGCAGTTCTCGCAAGAGTGATTTGAGTTTTGGTTCCTTTTGTCTCGCTGGGTACTATTATACAGGGTGTCCAAAAAATGTACCTACCGTTTGGTTATAAATAACTCTCTTGTAATGAAGTATTTCGAGAATCTTTAGGCACCATTTATTAGAACGAGGTTAAACTTAGATTTACAGTATGAAGCGAATCATCGATCGCTCTTCATGACTGTAGGATTACGGTAAGTTTCAGCATATGGAACCATTGTGAAATATACCACCTAACAAATTTTTTTTAAATCTGAAAAATCGTGTACTAGGGTTTTCGCGCGTGCTGATTCCACCTAACAACTATTTACGAGTGTTTTCAGCTTTTTGACGGTGTAACTACATTTCTGACAAATGTTGGGAATTGAGTTACGAGTTCGGGAATAACTTAGGAGAGAAGCTTCACAGTAAAATGCGAATTTCAAATTCGAAATCAGCGGCTCCTATTACCGCTGTAAAGGGTTTGTGGCATATTTGGCTTTGTTCCGAGGCAGAATATAGCCTCCAATGGCCTAAAATCCCTGCCGAAGTTCGTACCGTAATCCTACAGTAATGAAGAGCGATAATGATTCGCTCCATACTGTAAACCTAAGTTTAACCTCGCTCTACGAACTGGTACCTAAAGCTTCTCGAAACACTTCATTACAAGAGAGTTATTTACGATCAAACAGTAGGTACATTTTCTAGGACACCCTATACTATCATATAAAGAAGAGAGTTAGGAAATTAATAGTTGAAGAAATTGGTAAAATGCAGAGCGAGTGCGAGTCCAATATGCTTATGAAAAACAATATGCTATCCAAATTTCTTTTTCACACTCTGGTTTCGGGCTTGGACTAGACCAGATGTGTGGCCTTCCTGCCGCCCCCGGGTTCAGAAACCCTCTCATCAGTAGTTCACAGGAAGGCTTCAAGAAACATGAAAAGGAACAGACAGTGCTGACACGAGAGGAGTTCAAAGTGTACAAAAAGGTGAAGGAAGTAGGGCTGCTATGAGAGCAGTCCAAGGCGTACAAAAGTGCAAATGAACTAAATTACTGGTCTCCCCCTCCCTCCCTCAATAATATGTAGTAATTGAAGCATAACCACCGCAAACTACCAATGTAGAAAAAGCTTGCATATGCCTCTAATTCCATAGTTTGAGATATTTGAGCAGAGAGCACCAGCATGGAACAAGTAGAAGTAATGTTTTATACATGAGAGAGGGTGCCTTGCGCAACCTCTGAGTTCGGTTAATTTTGTTTGAGAATAAGCCTTCCAATACAGTTGATGTGATTGTAAAAAGCCTCATAATTCACTGAATCTTGCTGCACAACGGTATAGTTGGTATGAATTACTAGGTTTATACTCATTTCGCCTACTAAAGCCGCTTTGTTCTGCTTATGGTAGGAAGCCAGTACATCCGAATGTGCTTAGATTTGCCACGGTGGGGTTTTCTGGTATGCACTTTACGAAAACCATGTTCATTCTTCTCGGTATCCGTTTATTAACCCAGCATGCCACTGACGCCCCATTGTTTTAACATTTTTGCACTGGTCGAACGTTTCTATGTTCCTAATTTGACTGCAGCCACCCCTCTCTGACTCCTTAAAGGCAGCGTCCGGGCAAAATCTCGAACAAAATTTTTTTCGCTTACCTGGCCTTATTCTTCCCGTTGATTCCGAAAATGCAGCTTGGAGGGAAGATGTCAAAAAAGGGCTTTTTCCAGAAGCAGCTGATTTCGAATAATGACGCTTGCCGCCGAGGTTAAGACGCAGAGTCGCGTGCTCGACATACGTAATCGGGCTATCGATTGAAGGGGCGGGCACATCGCCGGGGTGGTCCTGTCGCCAATTCTGAAGCTGTTTTCTCGCTTCAGAAGCAAAGTGGTGCAATGCCACTTGGGCAAGAGGTCCACCAGGCCGAGAACCCCTGTACGCTACAGTTTCGTTTTTGCCCGGAAGCAGCCTTTAAGAGCGACCCCTCCCCGCCTAGGTGTGGCGGCCATACCTCACTTTTCCCTGATCAGAATTATCGTAAATGGAAGTGGCGAAACCAGGAAAGCAAAGATGAATAAAGAGTCCAGCAGAAAGCTTGCCTCGACCAAACCACTTTAACGCAGCTCCACTTGTATTTGAGCATCCCAGGGAGGGCGGCATATGTCAAGCTGAGAATTATTTTATAGGAAAAAGCAAAGTAGTATTGTAAATATATTTACATTCATATGTAAAACGTACCCTTCAGTCAACCTCAGTCCTCTCAAAAACTAGTTTCCATGACTGAACAGAGAGGATCTGCTCAACGCATTTTCGAAAGTCAGTTTTCTTATGCTAAATAATAACATATGACTCGTTTGCAGCGCACAAGTAACAAATAGACACCCACGCCGCAGGACGCAGCAGGCTGCGGCGTACGCAGCGCACGAGGCAGGCTGCCGCGTTCTGGTATGAAAGAACTGTTAATGCGGTGCGCTGCAGTGCGCCGGAGTGCGGCAGAGTGCGCGCACTCCGCTAGAGTGCAAGGGGGTACGCGTCGCATCGCCATTACTCGCATGAGTATAGACGTATTGTGAATTCAAAAACACCGTTCGATTCAGCTCGGCGATACGCATCGTATAGTGTTTAGAAGTTTTTTAGAAGAAAGACTCTAAATCTTCAGAAGATTAAGATCTTTAAAAGATTTTCGTAGAACGGAGTCTCAGACGCGCACCATTTGCACCTGCACCACCATACCTTCCGCCACAAATTCAATCTGAGTGACTCTCTACCATACTCCTACAGTCTCCCTACGGTGCCTTCACAAATCAGTGTCTACACACTAAACAATCCAACCTAACAAAAACCTGCAAAATTGAGCGAAAATCTACTGTCGACCGTATACCTACCGTACCCCGATAAACTGTGGCAGATTGTACACTTTACGATGCGTCTCGCCGAGCTGAATCGAACAGTGTTTTTGGATTCAGAATACATCTCTTCTCAAGCGAGATATGGCGATGCGACGCCTATTCCGGCGCACTGCAGCGCACTGTGGCGCACTCCGCTAGAGTGCGGCGACTTTTTTGACGAATTATGAGCGGTATTGTATTTTCTTTATAGATTTCTGGTGCGAATGAAGCTTGTGAGAAGAGTAGGCGAAAGAGCATTGTTGGTCTAGGCAAAGGGTTTCTCAAAAAAATCCGGATTGCTTCAGCACTGAAGGTAAAGTCAAGATAAGTAAAATCATGTGCTCACTACACTCGCATTTGAAATTTAGCACTGTCTTCCAAAGAATATATAATGTTTTAGGTCTTGAGAATGGAGGATGGGAAAGTGTCCCTGTCTTTGAAAAAAGTGGACCACAAGACTAGAGAAGATCTCAATCCGCAGGAAGCTTCATTTCCTGTAGGCGCTGTTAGCGTTAGTGATCTGCAAATTTCAAAAGCTCCAAGGGTAAATCCTAAAAGCTCATCTGGCGTTAATGGAACTGTAAGCACTGGAACACGGTATGCGATTGATTTCTACGAAATCACATGCCACTTCCCATCAAATGCTTATTGTTAAGGATTCTAATGGTGCATTTTTGCAAGAGTTGTATACGGATGTCAACGCCGGAAATGTGGGAGCGGCAAACATGATGGGTGCTGGTGTATATGGACCAACATAGGCCGTCCAGATTTCGATGAAGAAGCTGGAGTTTTAAGAGGAGAAGACGGTAAGCGTGCATACCCTTTGACTAAGAACATTCTTCCTTTCAGAGTGCATTAGAAAAACAGCTTACCTCCCTTTTTCCATCGTAATAAAGAAATCGTTCGTCTGATGGCAGATATACCCATGGACCTAGAAGGAGAAAACGTTTCAGTGAGTTTTTTCCCATTTTCAGCTTCAGCTTGCTTTAACTCAGTTTTAGCTTGCTTCGACCCCGCTGGCATTCGGGCATCAAGCTCCCGACTATACTTTGCATTCATTTGCTGTCAATTCCACCGATTTTGGTGCTTATCTTCTCTAGGAAGTTGCGTATAATGTAGAGATAGGAACTATGCTTGAATGGAAAGTGTTTTTCCTTGTTTAGCAGTTTACCACTTTATCGTTTTCAACATTTCGTTTCACACATTCTCGACTTTAGCAGATGGAAGTCTGCTCAAGGCAACTTTTGATGCTTATTCCATCATTCTATGTAAACAAGCATCTCTTTGAGCTTTGTCGCGAGAAAAATCTGTCAACTGAGTATATAAGGTGCATTTCGTCAGTCTAGTATTCAGAAACTTATTCAAATGACGTCCACTCTTATTCTTGGAAGTCGCTTTGCTTTTACATATTGTTCTCTCTCTCTCTAATATACTGCTTTCTGATTTTGTGAACACAAACAGCTGATGCCGATAATCTCGATAAGGGATTCCTTGTATAGCGCTTTTGAACCAAGTATTGAGGACGTTTACCACATAAGTTTTTCACTCTAGGTTGAGTATGAAGTTCAAAAGTGTGATGAAGAAGACAAACGGGCACATATGTGCGCGACTCTGTTTATGATCTTTCGACACTGCTTATTCTCCACTTGCTGGATTATCAACTGGAAAGCCAAAAACATGATAGTACCTCCCCCCTTTCTGTCAGCAAGTGGGGTTTTATTACGGTGAGCTAGATTACTCAATTTCATTCGCATTTCTAGAACTATCTGCTGATGCAGAAAAAGACACACCATCAGGTAGACCACTGCGAAGATGTTCGTTAGTTCGTCAAGCGCACATAAGCGCGCCCTGTCCGCTTTAGAAAAAAAATTCAAAAGTGAGTCAATTTCTGGACAAATTTTCTTACTTATCATTTTCAGTTAATCCTATCCACCTTTTGACCCTATATTAACAGTTCTTTCATACTAGCGAACGCGGCAGCCTGCTGCGTCCTGCCGCTTGCGCCGCAGCAGTCACAATGAAATTACGCCCATGGCAGCACAGTTTCGCTTTTTGTGGATGTATCTTTAAATTTGCAGCATGTACGTGTTCTTAAGGAGTATTTTTTGAAGTTTGCTATTTTTTTCTTTTCTTTTACCTTTCCTCATCGTCGAACAAATGATTCTTCATTCAGGTTTAGTTATTTTGTACGCGCCTTCGGTTCAACAAAACTTATTTCGCTCCAGTTTGTTGTCATCAGTGAGTTCAGTGCGCTACTTTGTTTTTATATTTATTCATAAGGTACTAGATTTTGGTTTTCTTATTGAGACCCTTTATTGAACGATCTTATATATAAAGCTGAATGTCTGTTTGTCTGTCTGTCTGTCTGTATGTATGTCTGTCTGTATGTCTGTACGTATGTTCCGAATAGAAAATTCTATTTCTGAACCGATCCGGACCAAACTCGGCACACATACACTTCGGGCCCCGGCGGGTGTCATAGGCTGCTTTTCGTCATCGATCGATATCGATTTTATCGATTTTTTGAATTTGAGCTACGGGGCTGGGAGTTGGTACAGGGAGGTAATCGAGCATGCTGATTACGAATAAAATAATGACAAGGCCGGGCGGAGCCGGGTAAGCCATCTAGTATCTTATAAGAAACTTCTAGCCAACATTTAGGTTGGAAACTAAGTTTTGCAACTGCCTTCATAACTTTATCTCTTTGAAGATGGCACACTCAAAATCTGGAAGTATGTAGATCTCAATGTGTGGTATGACCGTGCTTAAACTGTACATATAATTTTTAAATTTCCCAAAACTAGTGAATTTCGAGGATCTATGAGGTTACAAGCAAAAATGAATCCGTTCGTGATCCAAATCACGCATGATGATCCGAATCTGTATGCAAAATATAGCTTAAGGTTGATTCATTGGCTAGGAAGGGTATAGAATTGAAAGACAAATCGAGATCTAGCGATCTCACGAAGTTGAGGTGCGCAAGGCTGGTGGGGACAACCATTGGTAACTAAGGAGTGGGAACGTCAAAATTTGCGGAGGCTTCACATAATAAGTTTACTCGGCCTGCTAGACACGAATATCATATTTTTCTGTTAAAGTAGTTTTCTATTGTTTAGGGTGACCCCATACCATAAAGCTACAGTAATGTTACAAAAAACCCTTACCGTGCAAATTTAGTGTGTGTTATTCGTGATCAGCATGTCGGATAACTACCCTACGCCAACTTTCAGCTAAATCCTTGATGATTTATAATTTTCCTTTTCGTACCACATACCTAACGTAATACTCACTGCGACGTCAGAATTCGGCAAAACAGCAGCTGTACTTGAAGCTTACGTCATTATCTACCTATTGACAAAATCTGAGCGCTTCATGTTAAACGAGAGCATGATTATTTAGTGAGTTGCGAAACTTAATTTCCAACCTAATACTAAAATCAAATTATGTGGAGGAAGACAACAAAGAATTTGGGAAAGGAGGAAAGCGGGGAAGGAAGAAAGCAAAACTTAACGTTAGAGCCGGCCCGCCGGGGTCGACGAGGAGATGGAACGACCGCTCAAAAAATGGAGTTCGCAATCCTGTACAGAAACTGCACGAGATTCGTTTCTATAGTAGGAAGAAATAACGGAGGATTTACGACGATCGTCTTCGGCCCATGGGTAGGATAAGCCGCTTATAACTTTTTTAACGATAATGAAATCGGATAGAGTTTTGGTTATGGAAAGACAAAGGATACTCAAAAGTTTGAGTGGAAAAATAGAAACTTTGAGTCGTTCGGAGATAAGTTAATGGGCTCAGGCGCAACCCTCTAAAAGCTCAGGAGGCCTGAGCTTTCCCTGACTCCATTAACTTAATCTCAAAATAAACTTTTTCAGATAAGTCTTATGTCATTCATTAGCACAGACCTCGTTCGATGTGTGAAGCTCATTCGTCTTGTTTCTGCTTTTGCTCATAGAGTGAATTTGCTCAAGGCGAAAAACGCAACTCTCGAATTTTGATGGGGCTTATAAAACGATTACTTAAAAGTGGCTTGAGACGAAACTGACAGAGTAATTTAGGGGAAGTACTATTTTAAACAAGCGTAGAAAGGTTGACTTTGGTCTTTGGAATCAAGTTAATCATGTTTGAAAACAGCGCCTTCCAGACAAACTGTAGGTTGGGTAGGTCCAGTCAGACCAATCTAACACTGCTGTTTTTGTATTTGTTCAATGCACTAACAACACATTTCATTGGTAACTCAACTATTACATAATTTTGGTTTCTTTCAGCTTCGATACTAGAATGAAAGAGATGAACGTCCACTCTGCATCGGAGAATCTCCTCGAGAGAGCATGGCTTGACCGCCGTCACTCCTAAATTTGAGTCGCTTAACGGAAAACCATGCATAGACATGCTTGTTATGGAGCCGTACCATTTATTTGGATCGACTTTCAGAACAACTGGCAAGAGCATTTACAGAAAAGATGCACAAAAGATGGCTTTTTAGGTCTACAGATGAGTGACCTTTTTACAGTAAGATAGGCAGCTTTGCCAGTTCCATTTCAAACATATTTTGCGTTTATCCAGTTAATCGTTCAATCCTCCAAGCTCTTGTTGACATCCGAAGCAATAGACGCTTGACGAGCAATCTCAAAAGTAGAGCGAGACTGGCACACTGATACTTTCAGATACGAGAACTTACATAGTTTTTCACCATCTTACCACCGCGATGCATGTACTTTCCATTCTATCTCAATGTATGCACGCGAAGGCTAAACTTATGGATTTCTTGCAAAAGCTTGCGCAGATAAGGTTTGCAGTCTTGACCACATTCGTCACTGAATTTAGTCACATAATGTCATTTCGAATAGGCCCTTCGATCAAAGGGGCATTGAAAGACTTCTGTTCCAAAGGAATAACTAGACATTCAATAAATATTCTGAAAAGTTCAACTGAAAATGGTTGTGGTCGCTTACCGGAAAAATGTTCATGGCATTCACACTTCTATCATTGATACAATTGAGAGTCACGAAGTCGAAGTAATCGGTTACCGCAAACTGCATGACTTTTATGAGAGCTTTAAGCGCTGATTCCAAATCTGCTCTTGCTATCTGCAGAGAATCTCTGGAAAGAGAATTATGAGCATTTTTGGAATCGAAAAGTGAATAAATGACTTGGAATGAAATCAATTGCCGCAGCTTCTGTAGACCTCGATTGAAGAAGCGGAAGTGTCAGCATCTTCACACAATAAACCCCTTTTGCCTCGTATATCATTACTTCCTATTTCTCTATTGGACGTCTGAAACTGCTGCAATGGTTGATCTGATTCCTGCCTTTAGTTCATTTTTTCGCCCCAAAAAATGCTCATATCTTTTTTCCCAGAGGAGCTCTGCAAATAGGAAAAACAAATTTGGAATCAACGTTCTCAACGTTCCAAACCCTTATCTACACTGTCGTATGCGGCTTGTAGTGATCGGCCACTTCGACTTCATGACCATCCGTTGTGAGACCTCTGTTGAGTGAAAGATCCAGTACTCACATCCAAAAGCAAAAATCTGAGAAGTGATTCTCTTACATTCAGCTTCAGGTCAAAGTGCACGTACTTCAGAATGGGTGTTACTGCAAGTTACATCCTTTTTTTACGAAGCTGTCGTAAGAACAGAAACAATCATTCAATCTCTGTAAATTTGTTGCAAATTCTGAGAAAATTCTCCATTTCTTGCAATTTGCGAAGGTTCGTTTTTTGTTAAGTTTTGAGATGGATTGATCTCAGCAAGCA